CGCCAATGGCTCTTAAAACGTGCTCAGGCTAAATACGCAATGACCGCGTTCAATTCCAAATGCAAATAGGAAAAATTAGTCGTCGTCGTTCGCGTTCCTCAGACTACGCAGAACTTGGTCATTTCACGTTGTTGTTTTGCAGTGGACGGCAAGGAAATGTTCAAAGATTTATAATGCACCTGCACATCTATTTTTTTGGACTTTTAACCCGTTGTCTCGTGGAATTATCGTTGCCGTCTTCGTCGTGGTTTGCTTAAAGTGCCTATAACCCCCAAATTGTTTTTTAGCTAATATAAATTTCCTTTTTCGGCTGATCACTACTGCGAAAAAATTATCGTTGTAGCTATTTTAGTTAATTTTGTACGAATTTTCAAAGTCTGTAAAATTGTCCTTTTCCATGTTCAAGACCGAGGAATGGGGGAAAATGGGACGAGTTGGCTTCTGACGTCATTTCGGGAATAACAATATTTTGTTTCTGAGGAAGACTACGAACGTGCGATAGTGTGTGTCAAAAGCGTTGCAGAATGCAAGGTCCACTCTATAGCTACCGACAGAGATTGTCGTCCTGAAAAAGGAATTCGCATGTCAGTCAACTGAAACGCAAACTTGTAATAAGTCGAGAACCCCCAGGTTATTAGCGTACGTAAAATAGACTTTTCAAAATAACAGTGATTAGAAATGTATTCATTTAACTGATACTATACTGGAACTCTCTTCAAGATCTTGGCGAAGGATTTTCTATGACTTACTAGTACGAAATATGCAAATTTGTATTGTTTGCGATGTTTGTGTTCGTACGCAGTAATTGACTATACTACGGTCGGTCGACTATAACAACGCGAAAAGTTACCTCACCTACCGATATTGATTGTCGACATTTCTGCTTATCTTTTATGTTAAAACTATTTTAAATCACTGATCTGGACAAGTAGGCAGGAGTAGACTTTGACTCCATCGCATTTTAAGCTTGTATTTCGGGGAAAATTAATGTTGGAATCCAAAAATGTTTTGCCACTCCGAAATCTGTAAGTTCCCTAAAGTGAAGTTACCAACTCTTCGTGTCCAGTGCCGATATCTTTATAACTCTTTAAGAGCTGTGAGTTAACTCTTCAGTCGTTATTTGTGCCTTAATAAACCAAATGGACCGGCAAATTGTCGATCCTGGCCTAAATTACAACGCGGCGATCTCGACTGTCGACCCGGCCGCACTTCGAAATGGAAAAAAATATATGTACATCGCAGCCGTCCAAGTCGTGGCTATACTCTGAATTGTAATGCTAGATGATACAGTTCTTTCACCAAAAATTCTTGTCCAGTTTTGATAAAATATGAATCACAAATAACCCAAAAATGTTTTGACAGCCCTCGAAGCTCAGTCAAAAGTCTCTCGAGTGTTTTAGTCCGGTTCCCGAAATGACGTCACTAGTAGCCCGACCCAGATCCCACTTTGCGCGGTCGTGAACATAGCAATTACCTGTTCAGACGCCTGTAGAAACGCAGGGATTTTATCAATCGAGATAATTTTTTCGCTGAAGTAATCAGGGAAACTAGTAGATTTTATTAAGGGAAAAATTTTTTGGGGTTAATGGCACCTTAAGCTGCTTATTGTCTCTATGTTGAAGGTAGAAGAAATGTACGTGATAATAGATTGTTCAATGCTTAATTATGCGCATACCTGGATAGCAATCATAAGGGAGCTTGAGCAGAAGACGACGGCGACGCCGAGGACTACGCCTAGTCATAAATGAATTTATATTTTATTTGTGAAATTCGCAATTGTCTAGATCTGCTCAGTACGTCAATGGCTTCAGAATCGTGCTCAGGCTGAATATGCTATGGCAGCATTCAATTCCAAATGGAAATACGAAAAATTAGCCGTCGTCGTTCCCTTTTTTCAAACTACGCAGAATTTGGTCATTTCACGTTCTTGTTTTGCAGAAGGACGACAAAGAAATGAACAAAGATTTATAATGCACTTGCACAGCTATTGTTCTTCTCATTAAACCTTTTGTTTGGTGACGTTATCGTTAGCGTCGTCGTCGTGGTTTGCTCAAGCTCCCTTCATTGTTGAAAACGGCTTTCCATTTTCGTTTTTCTCCGCCCAATTCAATTAATGAAATTAATTGTTGTGTATTAAGAACACCCCAGTCAAAATAACAAAGTCGTGTTGTAATCAAAGCAGAGTGAAATGGATTTCATGAACAAATTCTCCGTTAACATTGTCCGTTTGTTTTTTAAAAAACTTCATCTAAAATATGTGGCGAGATTTGTGCGATGAATTAACTCAAGCTGATGACTTTTGTGCTAACTAACAGAGGCAAATATTTCTTCAGCATATAAGTGTTTTAGTAAAGTAACAGAGGTTCCTATTACAATCATAACAACAACTGGATAAACGGACTTGTTTTCAAGTATGTGTACACTTCTATTCTCTGTTATATTCTGACAGAAGTGTTTGACATGAACAACGCAGACGAAATTATACAAGTCATCTCTATCGGCCTCATTGTTGCTGACCTCCTTCTCAACACCAATCGATTTCTAAAAGCCATCGAATTATGCAAGGAATGCTTGCTCATTCTCAAAGACACAGCAGAATTGAAAGACAAGAAAATAAGTAAATTATTTTACAAATGGATCTATTTTAGTATGTGGAAGGCTTGTAGTATTATCAACGATAACTCAAACGCCATAAAATGGGAAGAAAAAATTCTCCAAATTCACCGTGAAAGTGGAGAAAGACTCGAAGAATGTAAGCTAAGCATAAATCTTGCCAGAACGTATCTCCGTCAACGTAAATACACACAAGCAAAACAAATATCTAAAAAGGCGCTTCTAATCAGTAGAGAAGTAGGTCAACGAAGGGGAAAAGCTAACTCTTTCGGGAACCTTGGAGTGGTGTATCGATCTGTTGGCAAATATGACAAGGCTAGAGAGCATCTCGCGAAATCACTTGCGATCCAGAAAGAAATTGGAGACAGAAAGGGAGAAGCTGCCTCTTACGCATACCTAGGAACTGTGTATCAATTAGTTAGCGAATATGAGAAGGCTAGAGAACATCTTGAGAAATCACTTGCGATCCAGAAAGGAATTGGAAACAGAAATGGAGAAGCTGCCTCTTACGTAAATCTTGGAATTGTGTATCAATCAGTTGGCGAATATGAGAAGGCTAGAGAACATCTCAAGAAATCACTTGCGATCCAGAAAGAAATTGGAGACAAAAAGGGAGAAGCTGCCTGTTACGCAAATCTTGGAACTGTGTATCGATCAGTTGCCGAATATGAGAGGGCCAGAGAACATCTCGAGAAGTCACTTGCGATCCAGAAAGAAATTGGAGA